CGCTCGAGCTGCCCGCTGGAGGCTGCTGCCAGCAGCCGCTGCCGGGACTCGCTGCTGCGGGAAGCGGCCGCTGCCGCCGCGGGCAGAGCACGGGGAGCTGCGGGCACGGGGCTGCGGGAGGAGGTGGCTCAAGAGGAGGGAAGGGAGGAGCAGGGACCTGGGATGGAGGCTCAGCACTGGAGAGACCTTCCGCGTGGCTGAGGGGAGAGACCTCCCCAYGGCAGTGGGGAGCTGCTTAATCCCTGGGAAGTGCAGAAATCCAGAGTGAGCAGCAGGCTGAGCTAAGGCAAGGAAACAAGGATGGACAGGGAGGAGTGACTCCAAGTGGGGAGATCAAGAGGGAAGTCAGAGATCAGGTGAAGGAGCAGGAGGCCAGAGGGTGCCAGATGTGTTGCCTCTGGGAGAGAGCAGAAGAGAAAGGACTAGGAATCAAAGCGAGGGCTTGGGGCTGCTGGTGCAGCTCCCTAAATGGGCTGTGTTATCTTGCCCACCAGCCAGGCTCACCCTGGCACGGAAAGGTCTTGGCACAGCTTCTGTGGAGCCTTGGCTGCTGAACTTCCCCGRGAGCCAAAGCCTTTCCCAGCATCTCTTCCAGGTGCCGCAGCTTCCCTCGGAGTCCCTTGCAGTGGGTGCCTGCAGTGAAAGGCAGCTCGCTGTAGTAAAAAGCCCTGTAATCAGGGGGCACTTGGGCCCCCCTTCCTTCCCGCAGGGCTCGTGGCCCGCGGCCGTGGCGGAGCAGCGCTGCCCAGYGCCCTGCTCCGGCCAGACGCGCGTCCGCCTCCATCTGCCAGTGGAGCCGCCTGCTTAATGAGCTCTTGGAAGCAGCAGCGAGCGCTCCGCTCGGTCTGCTCTGTACTTCAAACAAGATATTTTTCCCCCCCCGAGCGGCACGCAGAGCTCCCGCAGCGCAGGCGGGCGGCAGGACGCACGCGCTTTTCCCGGGGCGAGGAAGGCGAGGAGGTCGCTGTGGGATGGAAAGGCCRGGAGGAAGGCAGCCTGCTGTGACGGCCGCAGATGGTCGGTGACCAGCAAAGGAGTTTGTCTGCAAAGGGCAGTTGGAGCCACCAGCTTCGCAACTGGCCTGCGATGCAGCAGCGCTGCCAACAGCCCCTGTGGGCCGAGGGCTGGCGGAGCGAGGGGGTCATTTTTGGAGGCTCAGCACCAGAAGGGACATTGCTGGCTCGCGAGCYGCTGCAGGCTGGAGCAGGGGAAGAGGCTGCTGTCGCGACAAGGGGAAACCTAGTTGGGAACCGAAAAGGAGGAAAGTGAAATGGGAGCTTCAGCGCGCGCCCGCGTGCGTGCAGATAGTTGGGAACCCCTGCTCCACATGAGCCGGGTGTTGGGAAGGGGAAGTGGCCACGTGAATTCATTTGCCTGTTTGCTCTCAGAACAGGGGATGGCAGAGCCATGTGAAGCTCCATCCCTCTCAGCTCCCCCCTCGGCCCCCATCTCAACCCCTCACTTCATTCCCAAGCCCCGTTTCCGCAGCGCTGCTCCTCCATCATGTCTGCTTGTTTAAACAGCAACCCTGCTGGCTCCCATCCAGAAAGACGTGGAGCGTTTGCAGCTCCCGATGAAACAATACTGCGCGGGTAACGAGCAGCCCCAGAATGAAGCCCCTGTAGTAGCTGCTCATCCTCCTCCCTGCATCAGGGAGCGCTTTGGGAGCTCTCCGCTAATACCCCTCTCGCAGCCGGAGCTCCTCCCATCTTCCCGTTGCCAGAGAAACAGCCACCTTGGCAACCTGCTGTCATCCTTGAAACACACATGGAAAAGTCCTCCTGATTGCTATGTTTGATCCTGCAGGCAGATCTGGAACATCACTCAAACTGACATGCATCTTTAGTGACACGACTACCTGGGGGACCGGCGGGTGCCTACACATGTGCCGTGTGCGTGGGCTTCGCTGCGCAGCTCTGCGGGGCTGCAGATACGTGCGTGGACCTGGGAGTGTAGGAGTGTATTGATTTTGTTATTATTCTTATTATTCTTTCCCCCACTATGAAGAAAGGAGAGATGTGGTTAGGAAAACAAAAACAAAAACAGAAACAGAAAAAAAATCCCACAAACCAATAGTCAATAAATGGAAGCCATGCTCCATGATAGCCCTTGTACTTCAGAATAGCCGAGAGCAAGAGCTGGTGAGTGACATGCACCCCGTTTTGGGCCATGCTGAGCTTTGCCTGTTACCCCTGGTCCCCGTGGTGCTGAATCTCTGGCAGGAGGTGGAGAGGACCTTACTCTGCATTCTGGAGGGATCTGAAGTGGAAGCAGGCAGGGAAATTGGTCTGTGCTGCCTTATGCAGGGCAGGTAACAGCAAAGCCTGTCTGTGTGTTCTGGAGAGACAAAGTCAGTGGGGCTGCCCTCTAAACATTTCAGGGAAAAAAATGCTTTTCAGCCAAGTTCAGGCCAGGATTTTCYGTATTTCGGAGACCTCAGGAGTTGCTCAAAACTGTCAGACTCACGATGGAGAGCAACCCAGTGGGCAATGAGGTGTGCTCAGACCCAGGTGTTTTACGTGAGCCCTGCTTCCTTTTCCTCCGCAGTGCCTGGATTCTCAGCAAGTCGATGTCTATTCAGTCCTTGGGAGCAACGCAGCGGAGCCGTCGCGCGGGAGTCCTGCAGGGAAGGTGAGGGCTGGGGCTCTCGCAGAGCTCCCCGGYGCGCTGGGCACCCCACGGAGCCCCGGCAGGCCGCAGGTCCGGCTGCTTTCCCCCCTTGCAGCCCCACAGAGAGGGCAGGAGGGGACGTGGTGCCCGCTGGGCTGCACGTGCAGCCGCACACGCATCTTCCCTCCTCCTGCTCTGCGGCGCCTGCGGTTCTGCAGAGCCTGCCTCGGGGCAGGCGCTTCCCCATGGTTTCCATGGGGAGGTGTGGCGGGCTGCTCCATGGTAGCCCTTGGACTTCCCCATGTGGGGACCCACGTTCGGAGGGAGCTGGGCGGATGCTGACCCCACCGCTGCCCTTCCCAGCTTGCTTAGGCAGACGAAGGGGGAGTCTGTGCATAGGGGCAGAGCCTGCAGACAGACTTGCTCTCACAGAGCCTGGCTACTGTAAAGCACCTGAGACCTGTTTCACTCTAATAGAACCTCAGATGGTCTGAGCAGAGGCTGGGATGTCATTATCCATGTCATTTCTGGCATCAGAAATAGTCAGTGTAGCTGCWTTCTAGTCCTGGATCTTCTGCTTGGGCTGGGACGAGACAATGAACCCAATCCACTCACAGTGAAAGTTGTTGCAGCTCTGAATAGGCAGCCCCAGGTCAGCTGTGGGGCTGTGTGAAGCAGCCCCGAGGTGCACRGAGCCCTGCACCCTTTGTCAAGCACTAGCTGCACGGGGCACCCCAGGAAACATTTCCTTCCTGTCCTCAGAACTTAGTTGCTCACTTCCCCTCCAGAACTGCTCTCTGCTAAAAAAAATATACATTCTTCTGATGTTGGGCGTTCCTGAAAAATGACTTCTGCTTCCTCCCACCAGTGTTCTGCTGCAGAGAGTCCCCAGGTTAACCTTTAGGAAAAGGTGGTCAGAAGTCAAGGGGCTGCTTCTGTAGCAGACCTTTTTGCCATGTCTTCTGCTCTCAAGGCCAGTGTCATCCTGCAATTAGTGCTGTGGCACCATAGCAATAGCAGCAGAGGCAGTGGCAGGTAGCTGATTACTGCAACTGATTACTGGCGGGAAGGATGTGATGTCCCAGGGCATTTTCTGCTCTGGAGAATACAGTACTCCTTGCTTTTGTGTTCTTGCTGCATTTTGGGTTGTTAGAGAGGGAGAGCAGGAGGTCACAATCCTTCTTCCCCTCCTATATGCCTTTGCACACCCTTTTCAGCTGCCCTCTTCTAAATAATTCAGTCTGATGTTGAGATGTCGCACACGTGGTCTTCCTGCTACCATGCGGTTGCCTAAGCCACGCTGAAGCACCTCTGCGTGGCCCACACCACTGAGCTGCTCTTTTGGCAGAGCAGGAGCAAAGCAAGTGGAAAGGAGCATGAATGTGTGTCCAGACTCAGCCCTCCCAGAGGCAAGGGCAAGGCTGAGACTTGGGAGCAAACAAGGAAGAAAAATGCAAAGAGGGGGCAGGACGAGCTCTCATGGCCCAGGGCAGACGCCACTGAAAGGGCTCAGCCCTTGTGCTGCTCGGAAGGGACGTGTGTCTGGCGGGGCCTCTCCATCCCTGCAGCCACGTCCCCTCTCAGGGCCCTGCTTTCCACAGGGAGAAGGAGCTTCTCCAGAAGGAGCAACTGTGAGGAATGGCAAGGGATGCCAGGTGCCTGTGCTGTCTGTGCAATGAACAGAGGGATCAAAAATGGGAATTTCCTCACGAAAATGGTGGGAAAGGCGGATTCAACTCGAAGGTTGTTCCAGGGAAGCCAAGAATGATTTGTTCCACCCAAAAGGGATACAGTCTTCTTCGCACAGGAGCAGCAGCCTGACAGAGACACGGACTGGGGGTCCAGGGGGCTTGGCCTGGGCCTGGGCCTGCCGCTGTGGGGCTGTGGGGCCGGGCCCTGCCATGGGGTGCTGTGTGCCAAGGCAGGAAGCGGAGCCGGCAGCACCCGAAGCGGGAGCGTTTGCGTGACCGCACCGGCCAGCAACTGGTTAAGTCTGCGGCTTCGGAGGTGCCGGCACCGAGCGCTTCTGTAAAGCGTTTCCCTTTGGTGGTGGCAACAGAGAAAATGCTAGTGTAGGTAGGGCTTCCTTCACCCCGTGGCATTTCAGCTGCTTGCTGTGTAACCTTGCTTACAGCAGGCCTGTGCCACACAGCGCTTAAAATATCAGTCTGTCAGCGCCTTGTCTGCACGGGGAACGCTTGTGAGGAATAGACTCAACTGTTGAAGAAACAGGATTGAGGAGGTCAGGGAATTCCTCCCTCACAGAATCCAAAGTGATTTATTTTTTCACCAAGTCCAATCCGCCCTCCCCTCCCTGTCTGACAGCTTTTTGGGGGAAGAGTGACAAGCAAAGGAGGCATCTTTATCCCTTGGGCTGGATTAGTCACGTTCGTCTCTGTTGGAGCAGCATTTCTCTGCGTAACGGCTTCCGCTTCAGCAGATCACTTATAGCCATTTCAAACAGAACAAACGTCAGTGTCTGCTTATTAAGAATTAATTAATCTTCTTTTGAATAATTTTGCTCTCTCTCTCTTTTTTTCCCCTTCTTTTCATCATTCTGTAGACACCTAAGAAGCAAGAAACTCTAGAAGTATCCTGTGATACATTGTATGAGAATATCTAACAGGAAGAAGAAATGACTCTGTGTGGACCAGACATCTTTCTGTAAGACAGAACTACTCTCTTACATGCTCAGTTCTCTGCAAAGACCCACACTGACTTCAGGGCACAGCCCGGGGGACTTCTGAATCCCTGGCTCCCTCTAAACTGCCCTTCATTAACAACAGAATACAGCTGTTCAGATCCCCCTGGGGCTCAGGCTGGGTTGACAGCACAGCTATTTTGCAGGAAAGCCGTTTGGTGGAAAAGAAAAGATATTTTTGTGAGGCATTTACAACRCTGTGACTTAAAAACTGGAGCATATGGGATCTATGCAGATTTCTCTCACACCTGAGCTGGTTGAAATACTTGAAATCTGATCGTCTGTAAGTGCTACCACAGTCCAGAGACCTCCCTGCTTCCTGGCCTGCTCTTCCAATCCAGACCCGCAGTAGTCCATCTGATCCTGTGCCCAGTGGCTATTCCTGGCATGGCCATCAGGGCTTCACACATAGTTTAACCAAGATGCAAGTGTCCACCTGCCTGTTTTTCCTTTCCTGGAAGCCCTGTGGAGAAACACGCTTTCTCATAATCTGCTAATCCCATCAAGTAGTCACAGATGCCTGCTGTGACCATACTCAGCTGACTCAAATCGGTGCCTCCGAGTAAATGCTCTCCCTTCAGCGATAGCAGCAGTGTTCGGTGAGGAATGGATGTATGAACAGAGATAAGAGTGGAGAAAAAGAAGGCAGAGGAAATATCCGTGCCTGGGGACATGCATCAGTGCCCTTTCCAGAACAAAGTCCTTGGAGGCAGGAGCCCAAGGAAACTCCCTCACTGGGGTTGCATAAACCAAAGGATCCTGGGGCCAAGTGCCAGCCCAGAGAAGCTCCAGTCGAGCTCCTCGACTTCCTGGGCTTCTTGGCAGCAACTATTGTTACCTCTAGGGATTTCTCCTGCTTGGTGGCAGCAGAGATAATATCTCTCTCCCACTACAATCAATGGGTTTGGCTTTGGCTTCACCTGGCCAGTGCTTCCCAAGAAAGGTCCCTTTTTTCCCCCCCATTTCCATCATTTGGTTGGATAGATCAGTTCCAAAACTCAGTTATTGAACCATGGATGGAGGCCCCAGATGTGCTTTTTCTATCCAAGCTCTCCTCTCCCCTGTCAGCTGGAACTCGCCTACCATCCACCGTTTGTGCCGGCGCCTATTTTAGTTCTGTTAGGRAAGAGGTTATGCTAAATATCCATGTAACATGATCAAACCAGAGGATCAAAAAGCCAAGGCTCTTTTATCTCCGTTTAAGAAACAACAACAAAATATCAACCAAACAAGACCAACCCCAAATAAGAATATGTAGCATATAACCTGAGAGGGATCACAGAAAGCTCTTTAAAGAAGAAGATCAAATTAAAACTGAGCTGCAGGGTCATAGGACTCTCTCTAGTTGAAGATAATGTTGCTATGCATCAGAGATAGAGGCTATGGAAAATGTCTCCAGGGCCTCCAACCTTCCTATACTATGTTTAAAGACATAATCCGCTTATTGCTTTGCTCTTTTTATTAGAAGAGATTTCAAACATGGAATTTGGACTTTCTTTAACCACAGGAAAATGCTTTTTCTCTTCCCAGTGTTGAGGAATTCATTGCAGAAAGAGCAATGAATAGACAGCACGGCATATTAGATCCATTTTCTATTCCTTAAATGATTATGATAATTTTAAATAAGTATTCTTGAATTTAGTGTTTATTAATATGACCAGAGGAGCATAAATTGGGAGAAAATGTTTGTGTTCCCCAAAGGATTTATGGAGGCTGGCACAGGTATAACAATTACTTTCCTTAGCCAATGTGAAAATGATTGAGGTGAATTATGAATATATTGCATTATTGCAATTGAATATTGAGAAAAAGGTGATAAATTAGGTGAAGAATTAAAAATCAAAATAATACTGCTTTGAGTAGTTTCTGTGGTTTGCATTTTTGATTTTATCAGTGCTAAAAATAACGGGCAATACTGGAAATATCCTGGTAAGGATCATACTTTGCAATGAGCTGGTTGTTTTTGTCTTTCTATTATGCTTTAAATAAGGGTTTGTTTGTTTGTTTGTTTGTTTTTTTAACATTTAGCTCTGAACAACTCTCTATATTAAGCATCTGAAATTGTTTAAAATGAAAAAGAAGAGAAGAGGGTATTTGGAACAGAAAAGGCTATTCTAAAATAGAATTAAAGTGCTGGAAGGTGACTGTGCTGAAGGGGGAGTGACTGTGTTGATCTAAGAGGGTATTAGATACCCCTGCAACAGTAAAGACTGAAGAAGACCAAAAAAAAAAAAAAAAAAAAAAAAAAAAAAAAAAAAAAGAAAACCAACCAAACAACAAAAAAAGGAAAAATAAGAAAGAGAGGTAAGTTTTAAAGCTATGTAGCCACAAGCTAGCTTCTTTAGTGTCAAACATCATGGGGAGATGCAATAAGCCAGAGTGTGAGAATAAGAAAGGTACAAAGCAGCTGGTTTTATGGGAGAGTTTTTTAAATACAACAGATTTTTTCAAGGAAGTATGAGAAGATGCCTTCAGGCACAGGTAGGAGAGCCTAGTAAATACAATTTACACAATATTGGCATAACTACTTCATAACAAGTATTTGTTCAGGAAAAAAAAAAAAGAAAAAAGACAGAAAAGCCAGTTGTTCGGTCTCATCATCTTACCTGGCTGTGTAGCCCATAAGAAATGGATGTAGAGAACAAGTATTACCAGCAAGAGGAAAGGAGTTAATTTTGAAGTGCTGAGCAATACAGAAAAAAAAAAAACTAAGATCAGCTCCTCTAGATCCATAAAGGTAAGAGATGATGGTTGTGTTTATTGACAGTGTTTATTCCATACACATTTTGCTTTAAATTGAAGGTTTRGAAAGGATATCTCCTTAAAATCATGTCTCCAGGGGCCACAGTTCTCCTTTCTTCGTCCAGCATGAGCTGTTATGTGCAGAACATGCACTCAGGTTAGGGTGGAATAAATGTGCATTCCCAGGTGCCAGGAAATTATCCCTTTTGTATTGATGGCATTTCAGGTGCAGTGGAGACCCAGTGTCAAAATGCTCAGCAGTGGGAGGTGGAAATGCACTGTCTTCTTCTAAAGGAAGTGCCCTGATACTGCAAGAATCCTTTGCCTCCCCACTAGGCCTCAGCCTTTGGTGCTCTGATCATCTTCAACTTGTCCAAGCTAGTGTAGCTGCAGAGAGTGTTGGTGACACCAAGATATCTAGTTTCTTTAAAGTGATCTCTCCACAATCCTTCAGGCTTCCAGCAAATCCTTGTTTGATGATGGCACTTCAATGGACCACTGGTGGTGGATGAATCCAGCACACCAGTACGCAGGTACAAGTGCTGGTGTGGCTACTGTTTGGTAATATGAAAGAGGCCAACTCTATTTTGCTCTTTATCTGTAGACATTAAAAAAAGAATATATTGTAGCGGATGACTACAATACAACAAGACATGTCCTAGATGAAGGCCCAGGTGTTCTCCTTCATTGCTTCTATCTTCCCAATCCACTTTTCCTTCTCATGGGTGTCACTGTTAAACACCTCTATGGCAGTAGTGCCTGAGCATCCAGCTAGGAGAAGGGCTTTATAAAAGGAGGAGCTTCACTGAGGAGCACCCAGATGAAATGGTTATTCCTGCTCTGAGTTGCCCCACTCTCCCACCCAACAGTGCCCAAAGTGTGTGTGAACCTTGGCCAAGAGCAGGGGTCTCTTCCCCCTGGGCTACCTCTTGTGAAGGACTTGGTGTTTCATGGGGCCTTTAGCAGCTCAGTGACCCTGAATGACAGGGATTTAGGGAAGGCGGAGAGTGAAGCCACCAGATGGTGCCCTAGGTCCTCTCTGCTCCCTCTCCTGTCCCCTGCCTGCCCACAACCCCTGGCAGCTCCCCTGGCAGCCCCCAAACCACAGGCTTCCCGTGGGTGYGTACACAGAGCCAAGCAGGACAAGCCCAGCTGGGATGTCCCCCACTTGCCGAGTTGGGGCCAGTGGCACCCCGCAGAGCTCCGTGCCATGGCCCAGGGGCCACCAGYGCATGTGCGGGGATGGAGGCAGGATACGCAGTCATGAAATCTGGAGATAAAGCCTCATGAGATACCTGAGCCTTGGCACAGGGCTCATCATGGCAAGATACCTCTTCTGGGTCACACTGTCATCTGAAATACAACACTGGCTGGGAGCCTCTGCTGCATTTCCTCCCCACATGGAAGAAGGGGCTTCTTATCTTGGGTTTGGGAAAATAATCCATAGCAAAATAAAGGACTTTGGTAGCTGCTCCTCTTTGCTTTGATAGGCAGCTGATTCCCGCTTCTTCTTCTCCTTTTGTCTCCTGGGATTGCTTCGTGGTAAAGATTCACATCGAGGTACCTGGTGGAGATAAACCATCCTAAATATAAGGGACGAGARCAGCAGCAGTGCCTGCCTGGCCTTGGAGAGGAAGTGTGAACCTGCCCTGTCGCCTCTTGCYCAGACTTGAGGCAAACCAGTGTCCACTCGCTGTCAGAGACAAAATGGTTCTTCTAGTTGATGGTAAAGAGACATGCAGGTTACTGCCACTAACTAGCGKGTTACTAGACACTTCACTGTTAATAACGAGGGTTGAAGGCTGCCAGCCTGCTGAGCCAGCTGTGTCCCTGCAGGGCTCACAGCGCTGGTGGATGAAATGGGGGACAGGGTGCGAGGGCGCTTTGGCAACACGAGGCAGGTTCCAGGACGAGGTGACAGAGGTTGGGAGCCCCTGGTGGAGGGAGATGCAGGAGGTCAGGTCAGGTGGTTGCAAGGGGGATGGGAGCAACAGGGAACTGCTGGGTGGCCTCATGCCTGGCCCTGGGCAGACGGRAGTCATGGAGAGCTGTGTCACCCCATTTGGGCAAGGAAAGCTTTTCCTCGCCTGCTGCTGAGCCCCTCCAGGAGATCCGCATTTCCTTCAGCTCTCCAAATCACGTAAATTGTGCTTTGGAGCTCTTGGATGTGTGCACATGTGGATCTGCACAYATGTGGATCTGCTGTGTGGACCACACAGCTGGTGGGGCCGGGCAGGTCGGCTACTCGGCTTGAAGGAGTCACAGGGTAACTACCCGAACTGGAACAGGGCGAGCATGCAGAAGCTAACGTATGTGCTTCTGCARAGCACCATGGCTTTCAGTAACCAGCCAGGGCTTCTGTTTTCTATCCTATCTGAAAGCTTTATCTGCCTACTATTTAATGCAGTGGTATCTGAGCACTTTCAGGGGTATGGATAGCTCCCAAAATACCTGTGCCACAGTTGTGAGGGAATTGGCCCTGTAATGGTGCTAACGGTGCTGTACACTGACACACACCTTTAAAACCAAGGATTTCAAAGTCCTTTGCAAAGCTCAGGACGATGGTTGAGTTTCACAGATGACGAAGTGGAACCTCAGGAAGTTACACGACTCTTCCAAACGTGCAAAGGGTCAGAGGGAAAGTTGGGAACAATATTCAGGTTCCTTAAGTGTGCTAGGCTGTCCAGCAGCTAAGTAAGCAGGAGCTGT